GTGGTGACATGGAGGTGGTGGTGGTGGTACGACGATGGTGGCGGTGATCGTGTCGAGATGGTGGTGGCGGTGGAGAGTAATTGAGAGAGTTAAGTGTTTCTCATTTTGTGCTCGGGAACAAAAAAAACAAAAAAAAAAATTGATTCTTTTTTCTATTCCACATCACAAAAATTAAACCGGTTCATCTCGAGAACAAAAAAAAAAAAAAAATTTACCAAACGAGTTTTCTATCCATTTACGTTCACAAGAGAAAAAAAAAAAAAAAAAAAAATTCCGCGAAGGTTTTCATGCATACCCTTTAAAACAAACATAAATAGAATCTATCTATTATATCTTTAACTAATGACCTTAGTATACTAGTTGTTAAAAACTTAACTATTTCCTTCTTCTTTTTTTGGTAAACCTTAACTATTTCCTTTAACTAATCATTTGGGAGTTACTTTTAGGAGGGAAAGAAAATAGAGGGTAGGGTTTTATTAATACTTCTCTTGTTTGTGAGTTTTAAAAAAGGGAAAAGTAATTCTCAAGTCGCTGGAAATAACTTAGTGAGCCCAAAATGACATCGTTTTAAGGTTGTATGATTAAAAAATTATAATGTTAAAGACTAATATAACCCTGCAATAAAATAGAATTACAAAAATAACTTGACTTTCGTCACAAAATGACGTCATTTTGTGCTCACCGTAGATAACTTATCTCTATTGATTGGAGAAATATTTTACTCTTTAAAAAAAATGAGGGAAGGGAATTGAGGATTTTTTAAAATCCTCTAAAATACTTCTCACCCTTAAAATTAAAGTTTTTCCAATTTGAGGGATTTGAGAGGGGAAATATTGAAATTACTTATCTATCATTAGCATTAAAATATGAAAACTACATAAATGTGAATCATTTTCTAAATGTGACATTATTAGAAAAGTCTCAAATACTAACAGAACTTATCGACGAAAAATATTTCTTCGAAAATAGGGATGAAATTCATATTTCATAATAGAGACGTAAAAAAATTTCTGTAGAAACTAAAGACGAAATTAGAGATGGAACAAGATTTGGCTATAATCACTAACATAATTTTTTTCCAAAAAAAATCCAGTCAATTTTTTTGATAGAATCTAAATTCCGTCGAAACTTTCAATGGAAATATTTCCGTCAAGTTTTCAACGAAAAAATATTTCGTACAAAATTTCGTCGCAACACATTTCCATCTAAAATTTTCGACGAAAAATAATTCTGTCAAAATTTTTGTCGAAAAACATTTTCTTCAAAATATTTTACGAAATAGATTTCCATCAAAATTTTCAACGAAACACATTTTCATTGAAAATTTTTGGTGAAAAATACTTCTGAAAAATTTGTGATGAAAAAAATTTCTGCAAAAATTTCAGACGAAATTTTTTTTTTGTCAAAATTCATTAGGTAATCTAAATTCTGTGAAAATATTTTCCTCAAATATTTGACAAAAAAACATATTGTCGAAATTTTCGTCAAAAAATATTTCCCTCGAAATTTTCAACAGAACACATTTTCATCGAAATTGACGAATTTTTTTTTTTTTAAAAATGTTAACATATAAAAAATTTCGTTGAAAAATATTTCCCCCAAAATTTTCAACGGAACAATTTTTAATCAAAAATTTATACATAAAATTTGAAGTAAAATATTTTTGTAAAAAATTGTAAGATAAAACAATTTCATCAAATATCTTTACAGAATCTAAATTCCGTCGAAATTTTTTCTCACAAACATTTATGCCAAACTTTTGGACAAAAATTTCCATCAAAATTTGGACGGAAAAATTTTCGTCAAAATTTTCAAGGAAAGACATTTTCGTCGAAAATTTTTAACCAAAAATATTACCGTAAAAATTTCTGACGAAAAATATTTCTGTAAAAAGTTGTGACAATTTTTTTTGTCAAAATTCATTATGTAATCTAAATTCAGTGAAAACATTTCCCTCAAATATTTGACAAAAAAACATATTAGTCGAAATTTTCGAAGAAAAATAATTTTTCAAAATTTTTCGCGGAACACATTTCCATAGAAAATTTTTGACAAAAATTATTTTTGTAAAAAATTTTAACAGAAAAAAAGTTTCGTTAAGATTCTTTACTTAATCTAAATTCCGTCGAAATTTTTTGAGGAAAACATTTTGGTTAAACTTTTTGACCAAAAAAAATTTCATCAAAATTTTTAATGAAATACATTTCCTTCAAAAATTTCTACAAAAAATATTTGATAAAAAACATTTCTATCAAAATTTTCAACGGAACACTTTTTCGTTGAATTTTTTTGACAAAAACTATTTTCGTAAATTTTTTAATGAAAATTTTTTTTGTAAAAAATTTTGACGGAAAAAATATTCCTTTAAGATTCTTTACAAAATCTAAATTTTGTCGAATGGTTTTCCTCAAAAATTTTGATGAATTTTTTTCTGCCGGAAAGCATTTCGATCAAAAATTTTGGATAGAAAATATTTTGTCAAAGTTTCTGACGAATTTTTTTTCCGTCAAAACTTTTGATCGAATTTTTTCTATAAAAAATGTTTAATTAATTATTTTCATCAAAACTTTTGACGAAAATTAAATTTTGACAGAAAATCTATTTGTGCAAAAAATTTCATTGGATAAAAATTTAGTCACTTTTTAACGGAAAAATAATTTTTTGATAGAATTTTCGTCGTTTGCATAGTTGAAATTTAGTCTATAATATGATCTTTAGGAATGTGAAAAATGCATAAATAATATTGTTTAGAAATTTTAAATTTAATTTTATTTGTAAAATTTAATAATTATATTAATTTTTAAAAAATGGTAAAATTATCTCATTAACTCTCCAGTTTTTCTCTTACCATTTTCTTAACTCCAAAATAAGGAAAGAGAATACCTTTTAATTTTTTTTCTCTATTTTTCCCTTGGATCTTCTTCCTTCCCTTTCTCTCCAAACTCTCAAACAACTCTAAACTTTCAAACAAAGCAAGTGTACTTGTTGATGCAAGACATTAGAAAAAAATACAATATAAAATTTTAATATAATTATGAATTTTTTTTACTATATTATCCTTATTCCATGATCAATTCAGATTAAATATGTTTTAGAGTATTTTTCAAAAATTTAATTTTTAAATTGCTTAAAACCAACAATTACAAATAATAATGACAATAATAATATATAAATCTTTATTTTCTTGCGTCATTTCGTTACAGTAAAAAGAGAGAAAGGAATTTACCAAAAAAAAAAAAAAGAAAAAGGAAAGAAACGAAAAATATGGGCCGTTCACTATCAGCCCGTGTGTTCATATATGCCAACAATTTTGGGCTTGAACTTCCTAAGCCCATATGGAGAGATATACAAGTACAACCAATGTCAATGGTTAAAAAAACATAAAGTTATTGAATAAAGGTAATTTACGTAATAAAAAATATGGACTTTATAATTTTCACGTTGAAGGAGAATTGAAATTTTATGTTATAGAGACAAAAAAAAATATGTGAGACCCATATGTTAGAAAAAATTATATGTAGAACCCATGTCAACACGGAAATCGAAGGGTGTATAGGAAAATTTCAATTCTCATGTTGAATGAGAATTATAAAACCCAAAAATTATATACTTATATTATGAATTCATTGAATAACCATAAACCTTTGAAGCTATGAAATATACATATTAGAAAATATACATTTCAACTTAAAATTGATTTTTTTCCTTTTTATTATTCAACAACTAATAAAATAGTTTTTGAATGTGAAGAATGTCAACATATTTCTGATATAGGAAGTGATCTTGTGCTTCTACATTAATTGCGTTACAATGATACATAAAAAATCCACAACATCATTTGGTGAGAAATTTAGTCGAAAATAAAAAAATCGATATTCGATTCATTTTTTTTTTTGGAGAGATGATATTTGAATCATATATCTTCTTATACGTGCTCACTTGTCGTCCTTTGTTCTTTGGGTCTTTTCATTCTTCTTTATAATTTAGATAGACAAACATAAACAAATCATCATTGTTGGAACTACTTAGTGGAATGCTAAAAGTACACATTTTTATAATAACTTTGTATACATTTATATTGTATGTACGGGAAAGAGGAAAACTATTATACCACCGTGTTATCCATGACGTAGTCTAGTATTATATTAGATTCTTTACATGCAAAATTAGATGCAATTAACTATTTGTAGTCGAAATTAAGTATTATTAAATACATTTACCAAAAAAAATACTATTAAATACAACCAACAAATAAATGAGTTAAAGAAATAATTTTTAATTTCAAAATTTAAATCCATGTATTATTAATATCATTGGATCATTTGTATGTCAAATTAAATTTCATGAATGAACTAATTTTAAAATTATTAAAGGTCCATCTTTATAAATTTAAGCTGTTGAGTTGAATTAATTAATTATTACGGTATTAGAACTTCCGTGACCACTAGTTACGAGTTTGATCTTCACGTGACTGAACAACATTTATGTTTCAAATTAAAAAAAAAAATCATATTTAAATATATTAAAAAATAGAATATAAAATTATTGAAGTTCATCACTTATATAAAATCATTAACTGTAAAATCATTTTATCACAATATAATTGATTAGTACTATAATTTATACAGATTTAAAAAAATTGGATATAAAAAATGTTCTAGAACATTAATCCTCTTATACTGATTAAATTATTATTCCTCGGCCTTCACAGGTCAGAGTCAGACGCATGTGACATGGATCATGGTTGGTATAGAGCTACGTATGCGATGGAGAACCTCTTATATTGGGTCCCACAAAAGTTCAAGAGCCAGCACGTGTCAAAGATGTGATCCACACACACCTTTGCTCAAAATATCAAGCTCGTCCACTCCAAAAGCGCCACGAGGTGCTTAACAAACACAATCCTCTTCCCACGAATAGCCACGTCAGCGCTAGCGTTCCAAATCGTTGCTTACGTGTTCCGATCAAGCACCTCAGTTTCGGAGACAAAAATTGTGGTCACCGTAAATTCTCATATTTCGTGTTTAATATCACAACCACAGCACTACACATTTTATTTCTTATTTTCATGTCTCAACTCTAATTGATCCTCTCTCTGGATTCATCATCGAATTCTCACAAATCAAAGGTACTCTTCCTTGCTTCACTTGTTTTTTTTTTTTTTTTTTTCTTTCTTTGAACATGTGTTTTTCTTTACTTTATCATTTGATTCCACAACTTTTGTTTCATCATGTTATGTCGTGGCAAAAAATTTCCACCTTCATAGTTTACTTACTATATATGTTTAGTTGCTAGCTTCAATCCAATACCGATGCCTTAATATGTGACTAGCATATGTTTTTGCTGTTTAGATCTGATTATAGAAAAAAGGGTAGGCCAGAATTTAGATTGCTCTCTAACCAACTTATCTAGAGAGTGGATCCTCTCGTGTGAAAAAGTGGTTACGTGGTCATGTTATTTGATCACAACCACTCGTTGATGATGAGATAAAAGAGATAAAAGTGTATAATTTTTAAATAAATGGTTGTGATCAAATAACATAATCACATGATCACTTTTCCACGTGAAAGGATCCACTCCCACTTATCTATTATAGGGTTTTGAAACCATGTTACTGGTCATAAATGGTATTGGTGGCTGTTTAAGCAATATATTTACTTGTCCATGTACTATTCTTTTGGTGTTAATATTGAAGCTACATTGATGATTAATCAAGAAATTATGCTTGCCGTTTGATGATTCTGTGAAGCTATTAGTTGTGCACTTGTGTCCTGACATAGTTTTTTGGTTTGCTGTTGTAGGATATTGGCATTGAAAATCTGTCATTTCATTCTTTCTAAACGGGGATTAGGTAACCTGGTATGGGAGTTGTGACTGTTTCTAGTTCAGCTGCTCGGACTCCACTAGGATTGAATTCAAAGTTTTCCAGTTTTCGTCCTGCACTGAAGAGACCTTTAGCTGTAGCATTTAAAGGAGATAAACCGAATGATACAGCTTTGGTTGCAACTCAAGAGAAATTTCATATGTCTGTCGATACGGCCAAGACACAGAAGAAAAGGATAGGAAAAGCTAATAAACTACCTAAGAGAGTAAGAGCTGTCTTTACCGAGGAAGTTTCTCCGTCTTCCTTGAATGTGGACTACAATGAAGCTGCTGCCATACTCGAAAATATATACAAACTCAGCCCTGCATCTGATACTTGTGATGCGGAATATATAGATAGTAAGATCAAAAGAGTCTCTCGGAGGGGGAAGAAGATTGGTGATGATGATAAAGAAAAGGAGTTAAAGAATGATAGGGTGGTCAGGAACCAGAACATGAAAGCCAAACGATTGAGTCTTGATAAGAGGATTGCATTAAAAAAGAGCCAAAATGGGGAGGTCATCATTCCAACTCAGAAGAAAAGAAATGTCAAGAATAGGATTGAGAAGATTGAGGAACTTGTTAGGGAATATTCAGCATCTACTGATTTTATCAGCATGGACTGGAAAAGAATGAGAATACCTCAAGTTCTTCCTTCTTCAGAGCATGCTTGGTTGTTCAAGTTGATGCAACCTATGAAGGTAAGCAGTTAATTACTATAATTTCTCTTTGCTCCCCTTTCTTTGATTGTTCTCTTTTTAAATTAGTGTAGATCTTTTCATTGCTGAGTAGCATGGAACCATTCAACCTAGTAGCTTAAGCTGGCAAGTCAAGGTTCATAATCTATCTCTAACTCAGTTATTGATGTTAAGGTTCTCTGAACATGAAGTATGAACTAAGCAAGATCACTACCACCCTTGCGGAAATTCAATTATATATGACAATGAGAGTAGGGGCTTCGAGAATCCACATCTTGACCGTATGATCATCAAATTTTTTATTGTTTTTTCAATGATGGTATGGAGATTTGAAATTATGACCTCTTGCATAACCTAAAACCCACACAGTTAGTCTTTTCCTTGTGGGTAGTGGCTTGGTAATCCTAGGATTCAAGGTTTTGATACCATGTCAAGAAACGATCCAATGTAAGTTTAAGATGTTAGGTGAAAACATAGAGCTTAATTTTATTTCTGACATTAAGTCATGATTGTTAATATTCAGGTACTCCTTCAAGTGAAAGAAGATTTACAAAAGGATCTAGCGAGAGAACCTACAGAGGGTGAACTAGCTGATGCAACAAACATGAGCATTGCTCCAGTGAAGAAAGCAATAGAGGTTGGTCGAGCTGCAAGAAACAAGCTCATAAAGGTAATTTAAAGTGTTCAATTCTTTTACAACTCGGCTTTCAACAAGTTTAAAAGATAAATTATATAATATGCCTTCATTCCTTTTACTTTCTTGCCTCTCTCTTTGGAGTGTGGAGTTGAAATTATTAGTTATTTGTTGATATTATTTTGAGTAAGTTATATCGAGATTAAGAAATTGTGGTGATATTTGTTGCAGCACAATCTCCGGCTTGTCTTGTTTGTGATCAACAAATATTTTCCAGATTTTGCTAGTGGCCCAAGGTTTCAAGATCTTTGTCAGGCAGGAGTTAAGGGACTTATAACAGCAATTGATCGGTTTGAGCCAAACAGGAGATTTCGGCTATCTACATACGGTTTGTTTTGGATAAGACATGCCATCGTCCGTTCCATGACCCTCTCAAACTTCACACGTGTTCCCTTTGGACTTGAATCGGTATGCATTCTTCTTACTATGCATGTGGTGATTAATGTTTTGGTTTACGCAGCATATACTTTATTTTCAGCATCAACAACTTGAAATTCCTAATCAACCAGTTTGTCATGGTTGCAAGAAGGAAAAATCCAAGATATTTTTTATTTAGGCAATAGATTTGAATAACCATGGATGAAAAGTATAGAACATCAAGAAGAAAAATTTGGTGGAAAAACCATGCCAGATTTTAGCCAAAGATATTCGATGTAAATTTGGCTTTTAAGAAATTTAATAAATAAAATGAACTTAGTTAATTGATTAGGCTTTGCATGGGTCTCAGCTGTGTGTAACTTTTCAACTTCTTTTTGAGCAGGTTAGAGCAGAGATCCAAAGAGCTAAAGTAGAGTTAAGATTTGAGCTTCAGAGGTCCCCAACAGAGGAAGAAATAATAGAAAGAGTTCAGATATCCCCTGAAAGATACCATGACGTAATGAAGGCATCAAAATCCATTCTTTCCCTGCATTCGAGACATATAACAACACAAGAGGAGTTTATTAATGGGATCACTGATGATGATAGTGTTAGTAGTGATAATAGGAGACAACCTGCCCTACTAAGGCTTGCTCTTGATGATGTGGTAATAATAACTTAACCTCTTGAGACTTTTTTTGATACTGCATTACTCATTACAATATGTTCTTCTATTAAATTTTATTATTACGATCACAATTGGATTTATATAATGAGCTCTTGGTGGATATTGTAATTTTTAAGTTTTTTTGGTTTAGGTCTTACTAATTTGTTAGTAATATACCTTATTCAATAGCATCATATTGCCATTGTCATTTTTTGCAACTAATCTTTAGACTTTTATTTTTATTTTTTTTAGCTTGATTCCCTGAAGCCAAAGGAGAGCTTGGTGATAAGACAGAGATTTGGACTTGATGGTAAGGGTAACAGAACGTTGGGAGAAATCGCTGGGAACTTGAATATTTCAAGGGAAATGGTAAGAAAACACGAAGTCAAGGCTTTCATGAAGCTCAAGCATCCTGCTCGATTGGATTATCTTCGTCGTTATGCCGTATAAATAGACTAATGTATATGCTTCCCTTACAGAAACATTTGCCATGGTAGTCCCACCTTACCTAGTCATACAGTAGAGTGGTAATTTGTATCACCGGTTATTTAAATACCCATAATCATAATCATACTCATGTAATTTGTATATGATAGTCTTGAAATTGCACAAATCATATAACTGCACTGCCTATACGTGTTACACGTAATGTGTCTTCCTTTAATGAAAATACATTTTATTTTATACAATATCTGCAAATTTTACTCCTTCCTATCTCTGTTTACAGTTGCACAATAACCTATCTGTAGTTCCATATACAGTGAGATTGGATTTGGAGTTTTTCATGATGAAGAAAAAAAGACAGCTGGGAAGGGATAGACAACTTCAGATTCCTAGTAAACTCTAGGTTCATCGTCAAACACTCAAACCCCTGCACAAGGCACCCAATTTGTATTTTCACTGTAGGCCCAAGTCTTAATCTTCATCTTAGTAATTGATTTCTATTCATCTAACGAGTGTTATTTATCTGGAATTAATAATTAATTAATTGATATAACTCAATAAATTTCTACTATTATATAGACAAAAACTAACAGTTGAGATAAAGAGTAAGATTTCTTAATCTTATACTGGAGCCAAAAGATTCACTTTTTTCTGTGTCTCTATAGCTACTTTTTACAAACCCAAAATAAAATATCAAAGTTTGGCAAATCGTATTCCATAGTACAGGAGTAAAGTGCAAGACTTTTCTTCATTTGACGATAATGTTGATGTAGTTAAATTAAAAGAATAGTATAATTGATAAAGTTAGCAGGTTGATGACGAGACTTAGGACGAAGATCTTTTCTGAAGAGAATGATATCTAAAATTTGTTCTTGCACTAGCGATGGAAAAGGCAACATGAAGGAAGTGGAATGAATGCTGACAAAAGGAAGTGAGTGACATTAGGTACATGATTAGCAGTCCCAAATACTTTTGATTGGTTGATTACTATGAAAGTTAGTATTAAATTCTTTTTATAAACTTCAGCTGCCACTTTACAATTTTAAATACCATCTTCAATCAACGTAACACAAATGAATATTTTGTAGGCGTCATGTCATGTATGTATTTCTCGTTTTGGATAAGATGCAAATGTGTGAAAAAGTTTTACAATTCATTCGATTTCGATGGGAAAAGGATATCTGTACTAGTAGAAAAATGCACTTCAAAATTCAAAGTATGTATATGTTATAGTAACAAACCAATGCAATGAGAACAAGAGTCGCCGCTAAGTAGGCACAAAGCTGTTGGCTGTTGCTTTACTATCCTTAAATTGAGCTATCAAGAACAAATTAAAAGATAAATAATAGGCGTGCTGAATGTCTGTTCAAAACCAAAATCACTTGTCAAAGAAAAGAAGCTAGACATGAAAAAGAATGAATATTATACTTTTAATTCTTAATCTGCATCATCTTAATCATGGCTTCAACTTTCAAGCACAAGAAACTAGAAAAATATATTCTGAAATGCGGTATCAGTGCTTCTGTAGTTCGTTTCATTATATTAGATCATCTATATCATGATTCGAATTCAGTGATAATATACCGGTATAAATATTATACTTATTTATGTCCAACACCATTACATCAGAATCTTAAAAGAAAAAACAAAAGGTAAAATTTAGTTGAAATTCTGATTTAATGATATTAGACAATATTGTTAAACCCAACTCGGGCATCGACTCGGTCGGAGTACTGAGTCACTGGTTGGACCGATGAATCATTGGTTGGACTGGTTGACCCAGATATATATATATATAAATTCAATTATTTTCTCTATATATAAAATAAATTAACTGAGATTCACTAAATAAGCTAAAAAACATGAAACGTAAATAAATAAAAATGCACGCTATAACTATGTCAATTTAAATTGCAATTCAGAATTCCTATAAACATACCTTTCAATGATATTGAACTCATATTTTTCAAATTCAACTACATTAAAATAACATATATCATATTCTCTTAATTTATTATTTTGCAAATTGCTTCAGTATTAGAAACTGAAATTTGAAGTTAGTATAGAAGAGTATACTAGTAAATAAAATTACAGCCAATATGTGCAACTCAGTTGGTTCCTTGACGCTGAGTTAGTGAGGATGGACATGTGTTCGATTCCCGCTGAATGCATTCTTGGGGAGGGGGCTGAACCTTTAGCCATCACTGACCCCCGCACTCCGGATTAGTCTCATAGCCGGCTCAAAGAGTTGAAGCTTGTGGAGATACCGGAGGGAGCAAACTCGCCTCAAAGAGGTAATTAGGGTTGGGTAACTCCAAAAAGTAAATAAAATTACAAAAAAAAATTAAAATGAGTTATACATTTTTTACGATAAGATGAAACAATTTTTATTTTTTTTTTAAAAGCATGACCTCACTGGGTCACGGGTCACCCGTTTTGCCCGGGTTTGGCCGATTTTGTCTGGGTTTTGACCGGATCAATGCATGACTGGTTCAATGCTTGACCTGAACAGGTCCGATGACCGATACGTCGGGTTTCGGGTCGACCCAGCCGGATCAGATAGGACTTTACAACAATAATGTTAGATATGAATAGATAGAATAGACATAAAAAAAAAAATATAATATCAAATCCCTGATATATACTATATAATATGTACGACCAGCACACGAAAAAATTAGAATGGATATTAGCTATTCTACCAACTAAAATTTAACCCGTATCTGAATCCCACTAAGCAGGGAACATCAAAGTTTGTGTTATTGGTCAGCCCTTTAGTCCTTTGGGTCCACAAAATTGGAAATTAGTGTTCATTATTAACAAATTCCAGATAGAAGACTGAGAAAAGTTAGATACATGTCAAGAGTCATGGTGATTTGTTATGTATCTGGCCCTCAATCGCTTTTCTCATCCATTGTCATAATTTTTATTTTTTGAAAATAATATTTTTATCAGGAATAAATATATAAAGGGCCAGATTATTTTACACAAGATATGCTTACAATTATTTTTTCTTCCAATCTCTTATAACTATTTTCATTATCTTTTTTTTTTAGTAAACAATTTTCATTATCTTTATATCAAAAATAAATTAATAGCTCTCAATTAATATCATTTTGGTATTAAGAAAAGAAGTTAATAAATAATATAAGTTTAATTTTCATTTTCGTGTAAATTTTTTGAGATTAACATTTCTCTTATAACATGATATAAAATTATCTCGTGCAATCTCAAAATTATGTTATTTTGGATTTTTTAAAAAATATTGGGTATTTTAGCAAAATACATAATACAAAAAGAAAATAAAATTACTCAAAGGATTAACATCTCTCATATCACAAGAGATACACATATTTTCTGCAAGCTCAAAACAATGTTGTTTTGGGGTTAAAGATTAAAAATAAGAAGTATTTTAGTAAAATTCAAGATACAAAAAGAATGTAAATTTTTTAAAATACCCTTTATTTTTAATCTTAAACATCAAAACGATGTCATTTTGCTCTTGCAAGAAATAACTTTATCTCCTATTTACCAAAAAAAAAGAAAAGAATAACTTTATCTCCTATCACAAAAGAAATATTTTTTTTCCTTATTAGGAAAAAAATGGATGATATTTTTTTTAAAAAATAATATCTTGCATTTTTTTTCCCAAACATAAAATGACATCATTTTAAAGTTGCCAAGTTGCTGGAGATAATTTTATTTTCTGGAGAATTTTTTCCAAATTTTTTTTATGAATAAATACTGAGTTGAGATCGAAGTGAAAGATTTAAAAGGAGGCAAAACAACTTATAAAATTTTAAGTGGGGCATATATAGATAAGACAATTTTGATAACATTTATAGGTTATGTGAAAATCTTTTAATCGTATGATAGTACATAAACGGAAAAAAGTATTAAAAAGTTATATGTACAGCATATTAAAATATAATTGAAATTATAATCATCATGTCATATTTTAAAAATATTTATATTCTCAAAGAAAAGAAAATAGTAAACGAGACACTACCGATTGTTTAAGGTTTCAAAGTTGAAAGTAGTATAATTATTTCTTCAAACGCTGACGATTGGTATCGTAAGAAGTAGTTTTCGGTTTTCACTTTTGAGTCTTTGTTGGCAAAGGCTCAAAATGGATTAATTTGCCTCACCTAGCTACTTATTTTTAATTTGATTTTGATCAAATCATAATATAATTAGTAGTAAGAGATGATAAAAAATTAATAATAAATATAACATATCCCTTATTAAAATGGGGTAAAATTTTTAACCCACCTTATTTTATGACAGATTAACCTATATATAGTGCAAAATTAATTAAGAAGATCGGGTTGGCTAGAGTTTATCAAAAAAGTAAAATATTATATCTAAATTAACCAATTAAACTTAAAAAAAAATGTTAACTTGTCAGATCAATTTGCCATGATCCCTACCCACCCAATTTAATCCACCCTTAAACGAGTTGACGGATTGACTAGTTTGAACAAATATTATATAACCTATCAAATTGGGAAGATTAGTCCTCTTTCTGCCATCTTTAAACGAGATTAACAAGTAAGCATCCTCTAACCGCAACTACAACAAGATTTCCAACTCCTGTGTCACTTACTCATTTTACGTTATATTTTTCATATTCCTTTTAAGCAATTGTTCTTATTTTTTAGTAAATTTATTAACTTTTAGTTTATTCCATAATAATATGACTTTGACGTCATAAATCGGACAACCCAACCCAAATCATTCTGTTCATTATTAGGTTGGTTTGATTCGAGCTTGACAAATAAAAAAAATAAAAAATTACAAAATCAAACCAAACCAAACGAAATTAATTTATTTTAATTGATTTGGATTTTTTATTTCCCAAAAGCCAACCAAACTAGTCCGTATACGCTTGTTGTACCTTTAGCAACCTATTTGTATTGTGGTTTTATTGGGTTGGCAGGTCAGGTAACACTTCTTGATTGCGAGATGTGCTTCTTTATTGGTGGTCATATGTTATGGGCCTAACTTTGCCTACTTTGAGGCTAATTAATCGTGTTACCTTTTACACTCTTAAGTATGCTTTTAATTCGGCACATTTAATTGATGTCAATATTCTACCGAAAAAAAAATATTCAAAAAAAAAAAATACATCAAAAAATGATAATTTAACCTTGAAGGGTGGCACATTAAAAAAATAATACATTATAAAAAAAAATGTTAATTTCCAGTTGGACACCAAACGATATTACACCTACTCTGAATTCCG